AAAATATAAAATGTTTTGTTCATGTGTGTGATGCGATTCAATCACCCATATTTAAGGACTTGTATGCAGAGCTTGTTTGATTGTGTAATTATCAGATTTGTGAGGTTGAAGGTAAAAAAAATCTGTGTGAAATTTTAAAGTTTGTTTGATTTATAATTGTACATGTGTACTTTTATTTTGTATCCATAATTTATTAATATTTGTGTATACATTTAAACACACTTGCAAGTACCCAACATTACACACAAAATGGTTTTTACTGTTACAAATCCTGTTGTACACATACAAGTACCCAAAGCTACACGTAGACAGGCTTACACAGATTACAAATCAAATATTACACAGGCACAAACTTTATAAGTCTATTTTCTCTCCATACTCTGAGCACCACATCGGCCCATCTGCAGCTCCGTCAGTCCAGGTGCATGAAGTTCTTCCAGGATTTGTTACTCGGATCCAGAATTCTGGGAGGTCAGGGAAGAAAAACCTCAGACTGTTGCTGCCCATCAACCTGGGAGGGGTCAAAGGCCATTTACATAGTGTTTGTAGTCCAGCAGGAAACATGTCAGCTGCCAGTCTTCCCAGGATTGCACATCCCAAAAACTTCACCATGAGGGTCAGAAATGAGGCCTAAGTCCACAGGTTAAAGGTCAAAGGTCATGCCAGGACCGGTAGAAACAGACAGAAAAGCTCTTTTCTCTAAATCCAACACGGCAGCACGACTCATGTTTGTTCATCGGAAGGAACCATGAGACCTCTGGACCAGAACCAGACCAAAGATGTTTACTCAATGCACTGCAGCAAACACAGCATTAAACAACATATGTAAACATACATGGAAGGTGACGTTACAGAGCTGCTAATAAAGAGACAAAGTATTTGATAATTGTATATTACTGTGACTGGATAATTATAATCACAGTAACTTAGAAATTAACTTTTTTTTCTGTCAACTTTGAGGTTAAATAAACAAATATTTTCAAAATACTTTAGGTTGCAATCTGTTATTATCAGTTTCCTGTCTTCCTTGGAACTCAGTGTGTTGTCAGGAAGTTAACTTTCAACAATGATTCGATGGAAATAATTGTGAAAAATTTAAAACCATCAAGTTAAAACAGGTGGTGGAAMTTGACGAACAGAAACCAGTTCTGAAGGCAAGAATTCAGAGGAGGAAGTGAGGAAAAGCTGTGGTTTGTGAAACAAAACATGCTTCCAGTTTATTTAAGATCTGCAGCTTCATCAGGTTACTGCAGGTCTAACATGTCAGAAAGACTTTTAATGATTTGTTTTAGGACCATGATGACTCATGTGGAGAATCTTTACTGAGAAACAAAAAGTTTTAGTGATGATTTATCATAATATTTTTTTAAATAAACAACCAACCCAACACACAACTCAAAATATAAACTGATTGTCCCTTTATGTGGACCAAGTGTAAAATAAAATCCTTAAAAAGATGTCCCTAAATTATTTTTATTCTTTAGCTCACTGTTCTTATGTTTTGCTATTTTTTTCTAAATGTGTAAATCTAAATGTAAAAGTCAAATTTTAAATGTTGAAGCTAAATTTTAAAGTTTATGTCATCCTGGGATAAAAGAAAACGCTGGCAAMGCTAATGCTGCTRATTCTGCTAATGTTGCTATTGCTGCTAACGATGCTAATGGTGCTATTGCTGCTAGCTCTGCTAATGCTGCTAATTCTGCTAATGCTGCTTTTACTGCTAATGATGCTACTGCTTCTAATGATGCTATTGCTGCTGATACTGCTATTGCTGCTAATGCTGATATTGCTGCTAATGATGCTAATGCTGCTAATAGTGCTATTGCTGCTAACTCTGCTAATGCTTCTAATGCTGCTAATGTGCTATTACTAATAATGCTGCTAATTCTGCTGACTATGCTAATCCTGCTAATGATGCTACTGCTTCTAATGATGCTATTGCTGCTGATACTGCTATTGCTGCTAATGCTGATATTGCTGCTAATGATGCTAATGCTGCTAATAGTGCTATTGCTG